ACTCTGACAATTCAACCAAGAATCACAAGTCCAAACTGCCACGAATCCAGAGAGTCCCCGGCATGCATTTTCTAAATATTTCATAACTTCAAGTTCCTGCAATGGCTATATCCCAACATCTCAGGTTGCCGGAACTCCACGAAAAACCCAGAACTGGACCTGTGTCCAGAATGTATCGCATGTGGCTTTCAGTTGAGCAGCCCGTGCAAGCAATTACGCATCCCGTATGTAAACAAATCTAGCATCTGTGACCTTACAGAGCCTCTTTCGATGACAGTCTTCGGAGTAGACATCGCCTCCCACATGGGACCGGGTTAAAAAGTCTGCGCCTGCTGTGCACCTCTTGCATCGCACCATGAGATTGGATGGTCCGCGACGATGTATGTACTAGCGTATAGAGGGCACGCGCATCTTGAAGCCCGAGGGGGGATTTTTGACAATGTCGCACCGCAGGGAGCTCGTGCGAAGCCTAGGGACTGTCACGTGGTGTGCGTATGCAAGCCCTGAGTCGAATGAGAAGGTAGCCCTACGCCACTCGGATGACACCACCAGACTAGACCCCCACTAGACAACAGCCATAGCTAAAGGTCAACCTTCTCATCCAAGTCGAACTCGCCGCGCTGCCCCAATAAGCACATGCCCGTACTTGCTCTACCAAAACACCCGTTGAGGGGGGATTAGACTATGTCATTTTCTCAAGGCCGGGTGAAGGGAGCCATTATCAGTGTTGTCGTGCAAGGGGTTGTTTCGGTTTCAAGCCAGATTATGCCCGCAGTCACGCCATATGAAGCTTTGATTACAGGAAGGGAAAGGCGGAAATGGTGGATAAGACTCGGATCATCATGCAAAGATTTCCCATTCCGTTGTTGATGTTGATGTTATGATCATTCGCGTTACGGATTTCCATATGAAGGCCTACATTTGAGGGCAAGGAAAATTGATTAGGGTAGCCACACCGCGCGCACGCGCCAAAATGGATTTGATTATTTACAGAATTGCGCATCTATTCTTTCTGCAGGATCCATGTGGCGCCCGTCTCACTCTCTGACGAGGTGCATACTTTTGGCTGCCGTCCCATTGCCTACAGAGGATTCGGTGTGCTGCAGATCTCCGCTCCGGGATTCGCTGCAAATGACAATGCACTCACCATGTTTTGCTGTCGAAAACCCTGAATCGCAGCAATACAGTACTTGGAAGGAAGGATTTGGGGTGTCTTGGTAGATCCTGCCAATCAAAAGGGGAAGCATAACTGCCTGATCTCGAATCGCGCCGGTACTTGAGGAAAGCATGTTCGACATGGTCCTGGATCTGCCAGCGCATGGAGGAAAGCTGGTCTCCTGGCTGTTTCTTCGGGATTTCCAAGGTGGTGTCTGGGTGGTCGTGGTCACATTGGCGTACATTGGTCGCGTGACTCGTCACTGTTGCCCTGTTGTCCTATAGTGGTCCTGGTGTGACAGTGGTCCTGTCGTCGCGGGCCCTTCCAGGCCAGCCAAACAACAATCATGCAGTGGTTGCCGGCTCCTATATATAAACTCTCGAAAGGGTGTGGTGTGGGGAGAGTGGAAGGGGGCGGCATTTGCATTGATAGGTTTGGGTGGAAAACTGGAAGGTGCCAAGCAAGACAACAAATCATACAGTATGGTTTCCCATTTCCTTGTTTGATTTATCGACATTGGGGTACTCCGATTATTCTGGTAGGTGTGATAATAACAGTAATCATGATAATGAACTGTTTCCGCTTCCAGCAGGGAGGGAGAAGTCCGCACGGGGGAAAGATAGTCATAATCGTATTGAATTCACGTGCCGCTGGCTAGTGCCAGAAGGGACACGCCCTTTTCGCTGCGTGTGCGAAAGCGATGCAGGCTATCATTGGCCTGTGACAAGCAAAAAGGCGCCGAACCCCAGCGCCACTGCATCCCTTTGTTTTCAAGCGGGAGAGGAGGGAGGAGACCACAGGAGCGGCAATTCATGCTTAAGAACACATATCATTTGCCGCCGGCCATTGCCAGCAGGGGCACGAAACTCTTTTTCGTTGTCTGTGCGAAAGCGATGCAGGCTATCATTGCCGCGTGACAGTCCAAACGGCAGGAGGCACCGCCGTCGAGGCAGGCTGAACCCAAGTGCCACTGCATCCAAAGTCAAAAGACCACGGGCGATTAACGCTGAGAAAACCATTAATTCGCAAATCTTGCTCGCATGTTATAAGGCAACCAATCACGTCAGAAGAACGCAATCGCGTTCGCGCAGCACCGAGCGAGCTGACGTGGGTATGGCGGAGCAAGATGGCTCCAGAATTGTTCACCTCGGGGATCCGGGCCTTCATGGACATATGACATTTTCCAGTGCGGCTACAATTCCCTTGACGCCCACAGCGAACCCGGTTCAAGCGGCTGGACTCCTGTGTAAACCAACCCTGAACCCTAGCGGACCTAGCACGTCGACACCAGCGAACACCCAGCCGTCGCAGTGCATGGAATTGCCAGAGCATCGACCGTGATGACAAACCGCCGGGACAGGCTGCGCTGTTTTTTCCCCGATGCTTTCCTTGCCATCAGGGCACCCAGCTTCCTGAGGGGATCGACGAGGAAGTGGGATTTCCCACGGCCCTTGACAGCACTGACAAGAAGCAAATTATCAGAACAACACTGCACCCGTTTGCCTATGCAGCGGCTCGTCGAAGAAAATGCTCGACAAACCAAACTAATGCTCGGAGTTCGGTGTGCAGAATATGTGACTGATATTGACTGATGCGGCCAGGGGCTAAACAGTTGGCCACGTCTGTTTCGACATCACTTCGGACGGCTGTGACCCCAGCTCCCATGAAGAGCACGCCTTCGCCGGCATTTAGTGAGGATGACAATCTGAAATTTGTGCCTCTCCTCGGTGCGGATTGCTCTGGCCACCAGCAGGTGGTCTATGGTGTGTGACACCTTGCACCACGCCTCGTGCTCCATGGCAGGGTTGTCGGTCGGCTGAAGCTTGCAAGCGACCCTCCATGCCTGATGATGCCCAAGCGCCGAGCCTCTGCTGTCAACCACATGCTCGCGGCCAGTCCTCGAACTGCGCAGGCCTCGATCCCGCAACGATGACCCTGAACTCCGCGCTGACCATTGTCTTCGCGAGTGATGCTCAAGGTCCACGCATCGTCGACAGCTCCTACACCGCCGACTGCAGGACCCGTAGGTCCACCAGCGAGTGCAGCGACAAGAGCTGCATTGCCACACCTGCACCATCGCCCGGGCCGCCGGCTCCGGTTAAGGTTCACAGTGCCACCGCCCCCAGCCACCAGAGCGTCTCCACCACGCCTCCAATGGAGTTTTCAGCTCCCGCGGGAGCTCCAGACGCAGCGACGAAAGAGAGCCCTCGGGGCAGTCGCTCCAAATCAGAAGAACACAAGTAGAACACAGATTGGTGGTTTCCCATTCCACTTTTCTGCTTTCGACATGCCGAGGAGGGGGACAGGCGTGGGGGTGGCGGAGCACAGGGGACGGGGGAGGGAGGCGTGAAAACAAACACGATGGCTTCCCATTCCATTTAGTGTTGTTTCGCGAAATGGGAAGAAGAAATCGGCAGGTGTGCGCAAGTGTGATTACCAACGGTCATGGCGTTAATCATTATCATCACCGTCACTATAATAACCATAATCACTAGCATAATAATCATGCCAACAAAGAATGAAATGGCTTGCCATTCCTTATTTCCCGGGAGGGGGAGGAGCCGGCAGGGGGAAAATTGATTATGAAAAAGTAAAACATTATCCAAATTATCCACCATAATAATTCTTTCCGGGCAGGCCCGTTGTTTCTTCGCGTGCCCCCTCAGGGCATGCGGCTATACCTTGAGTGTCTAGGCTACGAGTAGCACAGACTCGCACATGTGTTGTGAATACCTGGGATTTTGAGGTGCATGATCGTCATCGACGGGATTTCTCTGTTGCACTAGTAATTACATGCTTGCCAGATCGCACCAATCAGGTGGGAGTACATTCTTGGACACCACCCCGTCTACGCCGTTTTAGGTGCGGCCCTCACGTGCGATAAGCGGCACACCACCGTGCTTGGATCTTCCCCGCTGTGTAGGGTGGCGGCCTACAGTACAGCCACGCCTCGCATCTCGGCACTGCTGTTCGGATCTCCATTTCGCTATCCGTCGTCATGTATCGCTCCGGCGCACTAGGTTCGGGTCACTCCCGTACGACACATTGTTACAGCATCTTCCCCCATCACTCGGGCTCTCGGGGAGTCGTTTCAGTATTATCGGTATTGTCAACTATGTGCAGCTTGGCTAGATTACTTACCTGCCCTCTCGAACCCCTCGCGGAGAGCGGCGATGACGGCATCGGAGCTGCTCTGAGATGCTTGGGGGGAAGGGGGTTGACGGCCGCAGTAACATCTGTGGGCCACTTTCCTCCTCCTCCTCCTCCTCCTCCTCCTCGTCTTGGACACCATCACGCTTCAGACACGGCGCTGAACATCGGACTGCCATCATCAGTGTAGACCTGGGGCGAAGACTTCCAGCACTTGCGGGAGACTCCCAAATCACAAACACAATGGGACTTCCGAGGGCCGGACCCTGATGTTGCGAACAGCCTCCGGGTATCGATGTCTCCCACATGCACTCTGTACTAAAGCCGTGTGGGGGCGGGAGACCGCCGCGCGACAAGTCTGGGACCATGGTGCACCATGACCAGATACACATTGACCGACTGCGATGTGCAGGTGAGCAGCATATTGACATGCCGAGTTTGGATTGTTTCCTGCTTTGCAGCCAGTCCACCTCAGTCAGAGCCACAACCCGCGATTGAAACCACAACCGCTAGTCAGGGATAACAACAATGCTACAAACGAAATGGGTTGGGGAGACACCGTACGCTTTGTGGCGCGGGGGTTGTCTGCAGCAAGAGTCTCCCGAAAGTTGTGAAGCTCAGATTCATACGAACCTTTTTGAATTAAGCACTTTTCGTCGGACGGCGGCGTGTCGAAAAGCACACACTTTTGACTTTACAGGCGCACCTGTATTCCTTCTGTGCCGCCAAGGGTCCCGGAATCTCCACCGAAGCCTTGATTGTTCGTGTTTGCAGTGGCAGTTCAATTGGTCGAGTCACGCAGCTATCGATGTTGCCTGTCAACTACCCGTTGGGCGGTCAGCTGCTCAATGCGTCGATGTTGTTGGCAACTGACAAGGATGCATGCAGCAGTCAGGTTCTCTATGCCTACCAGGGCCTACCAAGTTGCACGAAAGTGCTTTGTGCGGCCTGCTAAACCAAGCTCCGCGATGGGCAGTTGCGACCAAAGAGCCATTCCAAATGTCCGACAGAAAGATGTAAGGGAAACTGTGGCCTCACAGATAGCATGCTCATCTTCGTTGAATTACAGGCGACGCGCTGGACTTCACAATGTGCACAAGTGCCTACGAAATTAAAATCTTACGATATGCCTGCGGACACAGAGCCTTGGCCACGAGTCGATATCACTGTGCTCATATAGTCCGGATAGAAGGCCTTTCAGGGACAAGCATCCTCTAGGACCTGTGTGCCTGTCGACCTCAGATTCTATGCACGTTTGGGTTCACAGAAGCAGTGGCACATAGAGTTTTCTGCAAATCGATATTCACTCGGAACACGATTTTTTGGTGAGTGTGCCACTGCGGTCAACATGCCTGTCACATATTCTGGAACTCCCTGAAGTTTCCAGCCAGGCTGCCGAATCTCTGCAGTTCGTCGGGCCGAGATCGCAGATTTTGGTCCTGCCGCATATGCTTCGGACGCACCCTCCAACGGAAAGATTGAACGATAAGACATGGGGGGGGGATTGATCAGCATACCTGGCACAAATTGTCTCCAACTCATTGCTCAAAGACAGCCTTTACATCGTCTACATCTTACGGCATGGTTGAAACACCTGCAATCCGAAGGGGCATGCGAGTTCACCGAGAGCATTCTGGCTTTGACTATACGACTAGAGCCAGTGTCCAAGCCATTTTTCCAACCATTAGCCATGCACCCTCCAGAACTGCGTCCTTTCCTCCCCCGTGCAGGAATTTCACGACATGAAGATGCCTTCCTTCATCTGCCACTTCCCAGGAAGACTTCAGCAAAGGATGGTAGGGAGACGACCATGGGACATGCAACCGCACTCACAAGTGCTTGTGCGCCAACATGATTGCCTACGACTTCGAAATGGGCCGGCAGCCACCGAAGAGCACAAAGATACGAAGTTGCAAACTAAATCGTCGTTGTGAACCACAGAGCACGTCACCGATCGCCAAAACAGTAGCGATTCTGCACTCGAACCAGTTTTTACACAGGCTTGATTGGAGCTCGCCCCGAGCAATCGCAACTTGCTCAACTCGGTCCGCAGTGTGCCCGCAGCTCCCACAGCGGCGCTATTATCCTGGATCGCTGTAAGCGACAGTCCGACAAGGCTGTAGGAAAGTACTTTAATATGGCTGCTAAGCTCTGTCTCATCTCCAACACTTGGGATAGTTCAAGTCAGGCGACTTTGAACCCAAGTATTTAAGGCATTGGTGAGTTGACTTGAAAATCCGTGCGGCAGAAGCGTCTAGCGTCATGATCATGTGCTTGGGGCCGCCAAGGTTGTCTGGGTTGCCAATCCTTGCATGCTCGGAGCACTATGACTATCGTCAGGGCTCCTGGCTCCTGCGCATATGTACAAGACCAATCGAAGATCCTCTAGGATCTTCAGATATACAAACACAGTTCACGCCAACAACCCTCTTATTGACGAATCCTGCAAACTTGACACCACTTGAATTGCCCTGTGGGAGTGGCTGAAGAGCCGGTGTCTTCTTGACTGAAGTTCCAACGGTGGCTCTGTCGCTGCAGCTGAGGAGCGACTCTTCCTAAGCAGCCGCATCAGCGAGCAAACGCTGTACGGACATGCTAGAACACTATCCCGAACACCAGGTTCTGGATCGTCCTCTGAAACCCTACAGTAGCTCTTGATATGGCTGCACTGGACAGAACACGATCATCTGCATCCTGACCAAGAGTCGGTTCCGCCCGTTGCGAAGTTCGTGCGGAGGTCGCCAACTGGACAGGCTTCCTCAACTCTTGCCGCTTCAAGACTCGTCTGACTATGATGCCCCTATGCTCAATGCTTGCGGTAGGGTGACCTTCGCTGTCAACACGGGGCGCCGTACGGTTGATGTCAGTGGTGGGGGCCACTCATGTTAAACTTCGCTATGAGATGCTATGACGATGATATCGCATGCCTTGGTGCATAAACGAGCTTGCAGATGTTCCAGCATCCGTACCATTACCGCGGCTTACCATAAACCCAGTTCACATCTGCATTTCAGCAGCAACGAAATCCACTTCTCCAGATGTTGGCGCCGGGCCATCCCATGGCCTGGGGTGCAGGCTGTAAGCGAACCTGAACCGTTCCATCTACAGCGAGCCCCAGCCGAACATAACCGAACTTGAAATAACAAGACTTGTAATACAAACGAGCTGAACTTGGACACTAGGACACTAGATGACTGCAGGTGGTGGAACAAACGTCTGGCCAGACTGAGGCTCACGCCGAGGCGATATCCAGAGTGGTGCTGCCCAGACGGATCCGCAGCTGGCAGGGCGGCAAACGCACTGTTGCCGGGGCATCAGAATCGCAGGAGACGCGCGCCTAGCCACATCAAAGTCGAACTCAATCCGCTGGACTCGACGAAAGTCCTTGGCTGTGCTCTTGGCAAGAGCACGGGCAGATCGTATCGAGCTATGGCCCTGGCAACACTGCAGGCCTCTGCGGTCCAGGCAAAACAGCCGCTCCTGACACAAAAGACGTTTTCCATGGTCAGTGCCAGTGCAGTCCGGAAGAATGCCAAAAGTATTTCAAAGACTGCCCCTCCGCACTCCGCAGCTGGAGTGAGAAGTGAGAATTCTGAGAAGTGTCCTGTCTGGTGTGCTCGGGAGACTCACCTTGGGCCCAGCGGCAAATGAGTTACGAAGGTCTTACTAACCTCAACTTGCGGTGCTCCACAGGATGTTGGGGAAATGGGTTCATACAACGATCAGGTGAGCAGACTAGGCTTTTAGGAAACGGGACGTCTCAGGAAACGTTGAACAAGGTGAAACCTGAATATGCTAGGTCATGTATGTCGACCACGCTATCACAGGCGATCAATAATCTGAGCAGACCCGACATACCAGCGTAGGCTTTATCGAGATGGGATGTCTCAGGTAAGGCGCGGTCAAGATGAAACCCTCCTGGAACATCTGAGTGCGCCGCCCTCGAAGAAACCCATGCAACCTACCTCAAACTAGACAACCCGATTATCATCACAGGGCGCGAGAGATGCACCAAACACCGTGAAACTGGCATGGAGCCCCCAATGGGAACTAACAAGCGAACTTGCAAACCCTGGTGCAGTAGTGTTTAGGACCTTTAAGAGGCAAGAATCTTAGACCCATTGATTTCGTTCAAAGGCAATCAATTCTTGCTGTCCAGCGAAACTTGCTAAACTACAATGAACCTTGATTGGACAAAATGACGGGAGCAAATGCAGCTGCACTTAAAGCCCGTGTTATTGAACTGCATACAGCGCTGCTATTTCAGAAAGCATAATCGGATACATGTTTTGGTCTGCAAAGCGTTCGGTTGAAATCAAGCCCTCGGCGTTCGAACATGTAAGAGCGTTGTGTTTTTAATTGAAAACGAGATTCAAACTTCAAGCTGCAACTTCTTCGAACATCTCAAAAATCGATCAAGCCTGAAAATTTGTTCCTCTGAAAAATGCAGCTCGGAGTTCGTGATAAAACTGCGTAATTTTGCTGCTCCAGGAAAGTTGAGCCAAATTTCACACAGCTCATGACTGGCGAACTTCATGTCGCTAGGTTTCCAAGATGGCAAGCACAAACACCTGGCGGATCCTAGGCCTAACTGGCGGCAAGTTCCGCAGCTAAAAGGACAAGGGACAAACAGTGAGGTAGGATCAGCCTTTCCAGCTGCATCCACGCACATGCTGCCGATGTCGCCACGAACGGCCAGGTTGCCTCGAACAAATGCTTGAAGCTCTCCGCAACTTGCCGGATCATGGTGGCTGCAGCATGCTGCAGCTGCTGGTGAGCTTGAAAAGCAGTTTGCAGCCCAGCTTCAGGACTGCCAAGTTCCAGAGCCGGCCTCGGGCGACTCAGGCCAATAGCACACGGCCCGTCACACGAGCTTGCAAGCTTGAATGCCAGCCCTTCGATCTCGGATGTTCGCATGGACACATTTTCCTTTTCGCTTTGGCTGAAACCAGGATACCTGCCATATCCATGAAGCATCGCCCGGCACGGAGTTCACACACCCAAGCGTGGCGAACCTTGCAAAATCGTCACGAAGCCCTTGCAACCTGCACATATATATATATATACACACATACATAATTACATATGTATGTATATTAATATAGAGACATATTCATCTACACGCAGAATAGACATATGTCTTCTTCAGCTCGGCCAGGAGGGTCGGACGCACGAGCACCCTCCCCCGCCCCCGCGATTTCGCCATATGTCTCTCTCTCTCTCTCTCTCTCTCTCTCTCTCTCTCTGTCAATATGTGTATATACATATATACACACATACACACATTCAAAAACATTATACAAACATGTATACATATGCCATATGCACAGCACCCTGCCTTTAATCCAGGGCGTCCCTTTCCGGCACCTGGCCTGCAATTATGTTTGGATAGCTATCCCATCCCGACAGCCAACACGCCTACAAACACTAGAGGATACTCTGCCCCGATCAACCCACGCCAAACCACGCGAACACCGTTGCGGCCTCCGAGACCTTGCAAAGTAAAGTACATCCAGCCAACGCAGCAAAGTCACGGCGTGCCCGCAACTGAAAAATTTTGCCCAGAAGTCTGCAGTGCCAGCAGCGCCAGAAGCAAACAAGACCTGCGTCGATCTTGCTTGTCTGTCCGGCCACGAGTCACGAAAACGCAACTCGTGCAACTCATAGCTTCTAGGGATTCCTCGTTAAACGCTTCCCATCTCCTCGCATCTGGAGGCTTTGCTGCACAACCGCGGATTGCAATTGTTGTAGCATTGGAGTTGTGGCTGAAACGGAGGTGTCGAGCTACACCAGCAGCAACAGCCAGAAGGACTCACGCGGAGTCACGCGCGTTCCGTGACGCCGAGAGTCTGAGGCCCTGGCTCCAAGGACTTCATTTGCGAGGCACGGGCGGCCGGGCGGATGCTGGAGCACGTGGCTGCGCAGGTCCCGGTTTCGGCCAGCCCGTGAATTTTGTCTCTGTGTTGCACGTTCAAGGACTGTGCGCAATTGTTAATAAACGCAATCTGCACGCAATATCACACATCCGTTCTGCCCCTGGCCTCTTAGGGCGGCTTCTGCGCTTTCTGCAAAACGCTCCAAGGCCTTCCAGGATTCCAGGGCAGCTTCCCGTCCGCCGACTTTCTATGTACCATCGTGCGACTGGCGCCTCGTAGTCGTCTTCGAGGTCCTGCGCTGCGCGTCTCTTGACCGCAGGTGCGATCCTACATCCAACACCCCCAATCAGTCGTTTGAAAAGCAGCTCGCGAGAGCTCTCATCAGGATGCAAGACTCGCATCTACATGCTCCTAACTAAGTCCGTGGAGTCCCTTTCCTACAAAGCAGAAACACTAAGAAACAGTGAAACCGTGGGCTCGAGCGGCGTAAAATTCACGATTTCTTGCTCGCTCGAAAATCTGTTGCTTCAGCACACCGGAAGATAACGCACATAACAAGCAACCGACACGATTACTTAAGGGCGTGGTTTTCGTCTCCCGCCTGGGTACAACAATTACGACATCTTACAACGGCGCGCTTAGGGTACCGGTGTGTGCGGCCAGTTGTTGCTCGACTCCTGCATCGTTTAGTCTGTTGGTCTTTTGCTTTGTTTGGCTTGAAGGCCGCCGATCATTTCAACGGGCCAACACAAGCGTACTTCATCCTACACTCAGCCGGAAAAATCAGCGCAAGTAAGTCGTTCCAGTATTGCTCGCAGTCAGCAAGATGCCACATTGCGACATGTTCCTATACTGCCACAGACCCAGTGGCGGCACCCAAAGCAGGGAGAGCCCTGCTGTGCCTCAGCAAAGACAGACCCACCTCCGGAGACACCTACGGCGGCATCGCTACAACTACCTGCGCTCTCAGACGGAAACGCATGAACTCAAATAAGATGAATCAGTATACGACGTTCACACATTCGGTTTTGCCGCAATCCAGAGGCAATCTGTTTTGGAAGCCTCTGGCAACGTACTCCGTCTTTTTAGGGCCGGGCTTTGTTGAGTTGTGTGATGTCTGGATTTGGCTGCACTGCTGACACTTGCCAGGCTTGATGTGCATCAAGTCGAGGATAATGCTGCAATGCAGGTCTGCAAGTTGCAAGGACAAAACCAAGTCGTCTCCTCGACACATGCAAGCAACAAGGTCACGAAGATCTGTGTTACACAGCTATAGCCACTAAACTACCAGCTGGGCTTGCAAGTACAGTTGCTGAATTATGCTCGGGCCAAACGTCGCTGGATTCTTGCGGCTGGCTTGGGTTCGGGTGCTGGTTGATGCAGCATGGGCATGTGCAACCGAGGAAGATACACCTGCTGGCGGTGCCTTGGCAGCTTGAGATTCATGCACCTCGTCTGCATCGTCCTGCGAACAGCAAGATGCTGCTGGGCGGGAGTAACATGCAGGTGCCGGCTTGGTGCATACTCCATGCCGGCGGGCCAAAAGTATTGCATAGCCTCGGGTGTTTGCCCGAAGTGAAAGACCGAAGCGCCACTTGGCAATGCCGCCCGGGAACCTGACAGCAGGGCTTACTTCGTGTAACTGCACACGTAGACACGAGATGAATGCTCCCGTGCGCCTAGATCGTTCTCCCCACTCCCTGCGAGCGCACCAAGAACTCGGGCATGACCAAGAACAGCCTGCATCTACAGAAGTTGCCATGCTACAAACAAGTCTGACTAGACCGGTAACTTCGCCCTTGTCGGCTCCCTGGCTTCGATTGGCTTCGCATTCCGCCGACAGTGCTTGTGCTGTTGCCAACGCCTCCGTGAATGGAGCTAGTGCTAGTGACCCAAAGCAACCAAGCCCTGTCCAAATCTGAATGTGACTGACGGGTCGATGGTCTGAGCACTGTCTGCTGCGACACCTGTAGTCGCCGAAGCTCCGCGTCGATGTCCACAAAACCCGCCTGCAAGCCACGCTTGACAGCCGAATGAAACTGAACTTGCAATGCTTCGCAGGTGCCAAGACCAGAGTCGCCGCTTGGCTTTTCCCAAGTGCCTCCAATCTGCACCCAAGTTCTACGAGCCGCTGATGTGAAGTTACGAAGCGATGAACCCAGTCTTTGTCGACTTCCTCGCCTGGCCGGAGGGTTTCGTGGGAAAGCTTATGGCGCTGCTTCGGGACGTGCCTTCACCAGAATCTAGATGTCTCGCCAAGACCTCCAAACGATGCCTCAAGGCTGTAGCCTGTGGCAGGCACGGTCGTGTAGCTTGTAAGACATGACTTTGCAATTTGCTGAGGGCCTCAGCATGCTGTGCCGACCACCGAGCACCGGTGGCTTGCAGGGCGGATGCCAGGATCGTTGGCTCCTGAGGCGTCACGTCTTAAGCCCAGAGATGCCCCCGCCACCCGCCCGCAAGGAGGACGCTCCAGTGCTGGTGCGATCCTGCCGCCTGCCTGGAAGCCTGTGTACGGTGTGGGCCAGCCGCCGCCAACACCAAGCCAAAGACACGGCAAACACAACTATACTCCGGCCACCGCTTCAAGCTGGTCTACACACGCTGCGCAAGACATCGGAAGTCTGCACCAAAAGCGGGGAGTGGGCGTGCAATCGGATGGAAAGAATCACCGAGAACGATCAGACAAGATGAGGAAGCAAAGCATGCTTTCGCGGCAGATCCAGCAGAGATAGCTCCTCTCGATGTTGCCGCTGCGGCACCGCTCGGATTCTCGTATAAGCGAACCTAGTGTTCTGAAGCATACAGTCTTCGATGCAGGAAACCAGGGGATAAAGATAGTACAGAACCCAGTTATGCTTGCAGCAAACACCATGATTTATGTGATGATAATGGTACCGACAAAATAAATAAGTAATCGTGCTACGTTCAGAAAGATGTGTCCGTCACTTGTTTTGTGAATCCAACCAGGGGCAGCCCACAATTTCCTGGCATGGGCTCGGCTTTGCTTCAGCACGGTCCCACATGTACAAAGACAGGGCCACGTTGTTGCGAATGGTGTAAAGTTTAAACACGTATTACGCACTCCGGACTACTTGATGGACTACTGGCATGCCAACATCAAGAGGGGAACGTTTAGCCCTACCGCGACAACCAGGAAAAACAACTGCGCCTACGACGCTATGGCAGGGGAACTACAGGCACATACATCTCGGGAGCCTTTACTGAGTGGTGGCTTCAAAATATGCTTCAAGATACTCCAGACACCTTGCCTTTCACACACAAGCATGCGCACACGGACAAGCATTTATCTGCCTCCACGTTTACGTACACAGTCAGACATACACCCTCTCACACCTACACACACACACATATACATAAACATATACTTGCTCGTTAGTGATAACATAGAGTTCTGCAAGTGAATGAGCCGATGTGTCTCAAGACTTTTCGGCTCAGTTGAAGTTTGGTATCAGGGACATTGCCATAATGGCTCGCTCCGTGGTTGCCCTCGCTGGTCACTGTTTGGTGGCCGCGACTCTCGTTGAGAGTTGGCTACCATGGTGGTCCTCGGGAAACCTCACCGAGTCGAGCTCCACGCCCTTGGGCGGTCCGCCCCCTGGCGAACCGCCTAATGGGCCCTCTTCTTCCGGAACTATGTCCATGTGGTGGAGCGAGTGGAATTTCAAGGTCCTCTTTGGTTGGGCAAATGTGTCGGTGTTCTCCACCCCTGATCAGTTAGGGACCTTGGGCACTGACGGGGGCTGGGCCCTGTACTTCCTGGACAAAGCCGGGGTGCTTTGCTTCGGCCGATTCTGGCCGATCGCCGGTTGGACTGCTCTCGCTGTCGTCTTGACCCTGGTGATCACCGCCTTGGCCTGGTCGTTAAGGACTTGCGAGAGATGCCTGTGTTGTGGCTTCTGCTGCTGTCGACGAGGACGTGGTTTCCGAGGAGCTGGAGTGGATCCTGCTCTTCAACACCTTCCTGAGACCCCAGCTCCCCAGGCGTACGCTACTGTCTCCTTGGTGGGCCCTGGCGGTTCCGCCCCGGTGGACACCGAGTACTACCAGAGACAGGTAAGAGGCCGAGGCGCTGGGCGAAGACCTCATGACCTGGTCCTTCGATTTGACCAAGGAGCAGTTCGCTTGCAGCCAGACTGGTCGCAAAGAACTCGGGTGGACCGCCACGGGCTGTGGATCAAACCCGGACGGGTCTTGGGCGTCACCGCCAGGAGCCTGAGGGAGAAGGTGGAGAGAGCCCCTCAGATTCATCTCTGTCGCACGGATGATTGCCAGCAGGAGGGCACTGCAAGGCTTACGCAGCCATCGATGCGGACGCAGTCATCGACCTGGGAGCCTATGGGCGCCTCAACAGTTGGAGGGTGCTTGTTCTCTGCTGGCGAGGAGTCCGTGCTTGCCGGCGAGGTCTTGGCTGCTGCTGGCGCTGCTGCTCCTGCCGAAGGACTACTGAGGCTCCGCGCCAAATTCAAGATCATGGGGTGATCCGCCCTCTGGACCCCGATTCTGAGTCGGAAGCAGAGGTCGTGTCCGACCCTTGTGAGGCAGTACTGGTAGGGCTGGAGCTCCAGGGTAAACCACGAGCTCTGGCACCAGGGGGCTGTGAGGATAAGGCTGCAAGTGAGCCCACTCGGTTGCTTGTTGATGATCTCCAACTTTCGGATCTGGGAGGAAGAGAGTGTGTTCGCCTCTGCAACCACCACAGTCAGCTATATATGCTTTCTTGCCAAGGGAGGAAGTGCAGTGTGTTGTCCTGCTTTAACAAGACCTATGGAGCTCACAAGGGTACCCCTCTTTGCAAGAAGCATTTGTCGGAGAGCGGCCGCTCTCAGAGTCCGGCACCCAAGAGTACGGGTCCCAAGCCCGAGGAGTCCCTCCTCCACTCTATCCGTAGGGCCCAGTCCGCCGATGCCCAACGTGATACTGGATCCATCCGTGCAGTCCGCTTTTCAGACCAGGCGTCGCCTGGGATTAGCCCTATAGTAGGGATCGATTCAGAGTATGAACCTCCTTCGAAGAACGAACGTTCAGCGCACCCTAAAGCAGGTGCACCTTTGCTCATTCGTATTCGCCCCTTCTTCGGAACAGGAGTGGCTACATGCTGGTACCTGTTTCTCGGAGAGGTCGAGGGCATCTCGGAGGACAGTCGTCGCACAGAGAGGGCAGCTGTAAAGATTCGTTCCTTGGGCCTGCGGCTCTCCGCCCAAAACGGATTCTTCTCACCGTTACCCCAAGGCTTGGTTGCAGGAGTTCCTCTACAAGCTAGTCAGGCGCATCTTGAAAATCTTGAAAGGACCACTGGGCTCACTTTCATTCAGAGGGTCAGACTTCGCAGGCAACTTGAAGCTGGTGGGATAGTCGATCCCCCTTCTTTTTTGTTTAGGTTTGGAGGTACCCCCGAATGGCTCCTCCCACCTGAAGCCAGCCCTAACAGGACCCCTGTGAATGCGCAGTCTGCTGCTTCGTCTAGTGACCAGCCGCCGTTAGCTTCTCAGAGACCTGGCTCACGTATGTCTCCGGAGCTGCTATCTTTGCTCCAGCAAGCGTTCCGCTCACCCCGGCGCACCGCCTCTCCTTCCACTCGCACCATGGCTGAGGCAGCACCGCCGACCGGAATGGGGAATCGACAACTTCGCGAGTGGATACAGGAGTGGGGCAGTGCTTGGGACTTCCTCGGCCTCGCCCCCGGCAGCGCCATGAGTGAGGTCCTACGAGCTTACAAGCGCACGGCGATCCGCCTCCATCCGGACAAAGCCCCCCGGACGAGGTCGAAATGGCCACTGTGCGCATGCAGGCCCTGGGGAATGCCAAGGAGATCCTCCTCAACCCAAGCCTACGGATTCTTCATGATAACATCCTGGGCGTGGGCGTCACTGGTGGAACAGCTCCTCCTCCCTCAAGTGCAGCGCCGGATGGAGGCTCACCGCCCCTCACCATGGCTGGTGGAATCAGGCGCCTCCGCCAAAAGCCCCGCCAACAAGCTCGAGTTCCTCGGCTCCACCTCCTTCGAGCAAGGGCGCTGGTAAGGCGCCGCCGCCATATGCAATTCCTCGACTACTTGGAGGCGAGAGTTGGTGCGGAGGCGGAAAGAGCCGAACCTACGACGGCATCCAAATCCGCAGGCGCTCCGCCCCCTTCTGGCGTACCGCCTCCCTCGGGCCCTACATCGAGCACCTCGACGGGGGACCTCCTCTGCACCATCGGGTACAACCGCGGACGGGCGGCCAGGACCTCCCCCGCCTCGACCTGATCCAGCAGAAGATCATGCAGCAGGGCGGCCAGTGCATCCAGATCATGGCCACGATCAGCCGGGAGCTCACCCTTCGGCCCCTTCTGCAACGTCTGAGGGAGGTGAGGCTGCAGGTGATACCGCCCCAGCTGAGAACGACTTGCCCGCTGATGACTCAGCACGGCGTTCCGCTGTGGATGGTTTCCACCTCTAGAGCTCCGGAGGAGCTTGTGGGAGTGGCCCTGTAATCAGGCGTTCCGCCGGAATAGGAGCTGAAGGCTCCGATGTACAGTGGCGGCTTGGCGTTCCGCCCTATTTCTTTTGCAAGTTGTTTTGCGAGTGGAGGCAAAGCCTCAAACAGCGGACAATGCGGATGGGTCCGGAAATAGTCGGGTTTTCGTGTGCCCCCCCTTTTCCCCTGTCTTCTAAGGAACCGAACTCTAGCATACACTCGCTGCATAAATTTGACAAGGCGGCAGAGGCTTTTCCAATGCCCGAAGGGAGCGAACCGCCCCGACAAAGGCTGGTTCGACTTTAAACGACCAACACCTTCGGCTAACCGCTCTGTTGCCCGTTGCAGCGCAAAAGAGAGTGTATGCATAGGACGGTGCCTGCTCTTTTGGTACAGCAGAGTATGAGCATGCAGAACTTGCTCGTTAGTGATAACATAGAGTTCTGCAAGTGAATGAGCCGATGTGTCTCAAGACTTTTCGGCTCAGTTGAAGTTTGGCCCTCCCGCCCTCCCTGGTCTTCGGGCCTTGGTGGCGGCAGAGGCTTTTCCAATGCCCGAAGGGAGCGAACCGCCCCGACAAAGGCTGGTTCGACTTTAAACGACCAACACCTTCGGCTAACCGCTCTGTTGCCCGTTGCAGCGCAAAAGAGAGTGTATGCATAGGACGGTGCCTGCTCTTTTGGTACAGCAGAGTATGAGCATGCAGAACATATACATATACATATATACATATATACATATATACATATATACATATATACATATATACATATACATATATATATATATGTATTTATATATCGTGGTGGTAGGCCCAGTTGGTTGATCTCTGCGTCTTGCCTGTGGGCACTCATATCTGGCCGCCTGCCTTTGCCCCCCCACTGCTTCATCGCGTAGTTTTTCCCCCGCATCGAGCGCCACCATGTGTATCCC